TACATGTCTGTGTTTTATTTCAGTGCTAATTGCTTGTTTACAGTGCCAGCCAATCAGGCCTATGTTCATATTGAAACTGGGAAAGATACAAATGACCCAGTTTCCACTGTGCTAGGTCAACTTAAAAAACATACTTTATACAGCAGTGAACCAGGTCAGTATTTCACCTGTTATATTTGCTCTATAATATACTATATTAATAATGAATTTATTGTATCTTTCGATATATTTGCATTGGTTGACAGCAATAAAATGTTAGTAATAAAGTACAATACATACAAAACTAAAGTAAAAGTGAAATGTCAGTTATTGTTATTTCTGATTTCAAATATTTTGTATAAGTATCAACCAACTTATCTTATTAATACGTCTTCTCATGAACTCATAATACATTTAAATATCACTAGATATCACTTTTTTTAATTCTTCTTGGAATATTGATATTATTAAATAACTTATGTCTTTTTGTTTGGTACCTAAGACATTCCATGAAGAAATGTTCGTCATTTTCAATTTTGATCTGGGATTATTGCTTACAGATTCTGTCTTCTAAAGGTGTTAAGAGTTATTTTTAAGAAACATTTAAATTTTTAATAGCACATAAACTATTTGCCCTATTAGAAGTACATCTCTAATTGGAGTGTAAATAAACAAAATATTACTTACATAAATTATGGATCGTTAAAATTTATTTTGACTGTAGAAACAACTCTAACATTTTTGTAAGCATAGAGTAAATACTATACATGAAGATTGTTTCTACTACAGTTTTCTATTTGTCAACCCTGAGAAAATCTTTAATAGTTAACAATGTGTAGTTTGCAAAAGGAGTTGATTTTTTCATATTTGCTTCATTAGAAGCACATCAGAGATTTGCATTACCCAAATATTGTTTTTTTGGCATACTTGACCATTAAAACATGACCAATAATATTTGTCTTTCAAAATTGCAAATTGCAAAGCTTTGACTGCATCACTATTCTCATCTGATAGTGACCTTAGAATCCTAAATATTGGCAATGATATATTATAATTCTAGATTCAAATCAAATTTATTTCATTTCAGGTATTTTAAGAAATTACCAAGCCTCTCATCATGGAAGAAGAACAATTACTAATCTCCATGTAAGCCGTTCTCAACCGAATTCCAAAGATGCAGAATCATTGAAAGAGTTTCTATGGCAACATATTGATTTGGTATTGAATGGGAAAGGTTTTGATGATGCAATCAGCCGCAGTGTGGTTTCTCATGTGCATTTTGAGGTAGAAAAATCTGAATATCATATTTTACTCTATAATGTGCTTCTGTAAATATACATTTATATCTATGGGTTTAGATAGTTTGTTTTAGAGATTATTTAGATGTGCTTCTTAGAATAGAATAGATCACTGGATTTTACTTTAGGGAAGTGACCAAAATCAAACTGGACGGTTTCCCGCGGTGCTCCAACAACACCCGGGAAGTCAGCAGAAGCTCCTTGACCGGCCGAGGGTTCCCGTCAACACTGGCACATTTCCGGGGTGAGTCGGCGCTCATTGTTCATGATTATAATCCTATTGTTCAAATGTTCTCACCTTTCTAAAGACAAAAAACGACAGACTTTTTACAAGTCCCTGAAAAGGAGTAACACTTTTATCAACGAGTTACTACATTCGTTGCGATGTTTTCACTGTCTTGCGCATCTGTGTATTTAATATATTCACGCAAATTTACCCATGTCTGACCTCTAGTCTAGGCAAGATGCGTGTTGGGCAACGTTCTGCAGAACTTCCAAGTGCTGAGTTTAAGTTCCATGATTGAAAAAAAATAAAATAACATACAGTCTCATTTTATATCAACGACTGACTTTTTACAAGTCCCTGAAGAGGAGTGCCACTTTTATCAACGAGTGACATGTTGCTACATTCATTGCGAAGTTTTCAATGTCTAGCGCGTCTAGATGTGATATATTCACACAATTTCACCCATGTCTGACCTCTAGTCTAGGCAAGATTGGTATTAGCAACGTTCTGCAGAACTTCCAGGTGCTGAGTTTAAGTTCCACGATTGAAAAAAATAAAATAACATACAGTCTCATTTTATATCAGACTATTGTTGTTATTATTTCATTGGTGATATAGAGTGAATGCTGTAATTGTAGTCGGATTAACGTGAAATATTTACAAACATTCTCAACCCAACCCCTAGTGAAAAAATACATTAAATACGACCCCCGGAAGATGAACGTGAAATATTTACAAACATTCTCGAACTAAAATTAACATCAGTGCAAAAATACATTTAAATACAGCCCACGGAACATGATCGCAAAATATTTACAGACATTCTCGACCCAACCCCTAGTCAAAAAAATATATTTAAATACAACCCACAGAATATGAACGCGAAATATTTACAGACTTTTTTGACCCAACCCCTAGTCAAACAAATACATGTACATTTAAATACGACCCATGGAACATGAACGCGAAATATTTACAGACATTCTCGACCCAACCCCTAGTGAAAAAATATATTTAAATACGACCCACGGAACATGAACGCGAAATATTTACAGACATTCTCGACCCAACCCCTAGTGAAAAAATGTATTTAAATACGACCCACGGAACATGAACGCAAAATATTTACAAACGTGGACGAAAAATAATGAAGTGAATATTCGACCCGGTCCCTAGTAAAAATAAAATAAACGACCCGCGTACGCTAAATATTTGCAATTCGACCCGGATCCAAAATACTTAATCTTCGCGGGTGAAATATACGAGTGTGTCGCATCTTGTCAGCAGTACATGTAAATACATATGATGGGCATTTACTGCAAACGCCAAGCCCGAGTTTGATAAATTTCGGCATGTAACTGTTTGAAACGGCAAGCGGCGGGAGGTCCAACTCTTGTATAAAACTAAGAAACTGGGC